CGAGTGATCAACCGCAGATTCTGCTGCGTACTAAATAATTTTTCCTCGTCCACGCGAGTCTTATGGATTTTGCCAATTCCGCATTTATAGCGCACCGACGAGAGAAGAACACTGTGGACTCTCTATTAAAATACATATTTATACATATTATATTAATACATATAATACAAATTATATTAACATTACAAAAATGGAGGTGCTACACGGATGTCAGCTCCAGCATGTACTTTTTTAAAATCTCTTGAAAATGATTCAACAATAGGCTTTTTCAATAGTTCTCCAGAAGTTCTACAGTTCCTGATAGGTTTCAACAATCGTTCTGCTACGCAACATCGGTAAAATATGTATTACATATGCTTGTGGCATCATACGCTTCAGTGCAGGCAGACATGAATTGCTTGCTTTTGTCATATTAAATTTACCGAGCTTACACTGTGCGATCGAATTTAGGATTGCAAAGAAAAAAGTATTTAGGCTATATCCGATTAGTTGTCTCGTTCTAAGTGTTGCTTTGGGAACCAGCGATAAGTAGCGGAGGACTCTGCCCGCCAGGCTGCCCATTCGTGATCACGTTCAGCTCGGCTACGACGGGTTATACATTATCGACGGAGGCGATGATCACAAATTTCTATTCCCGGACTCGCCGCTACGATTTAGCGCAATGTTTTTGGTATCGCCCAAAACCGTAGCGTTGTGCATCTCCCTAGGGATCTCTGGATTTCATGCAGCAGATTCGTTTCTTGATTAGTAATACTTTATGACGTGCACGATTTTCAAACGTCAGTATCTCCATCTCCGAGTTTACCCACGTACTATAATACTCATTAAAATACTTTTATTATTTATACTAAATTTCTCATAAATATACAATATGTACGTCAGTATATGAATTTTAATTTAATAGACCATAAATAAGTTATTCGTAAAAATAATTTCTTATTGTTTCTTCATTATTGTACGCCAATTTCAGTGAGATGAATATTTTTGTAAGCAAACATTTATAGCGAATTATATATAAGAATATAAAAAGTATGACGCTTTTGAATGGCCGTACTTTGTTTGCAGGACCGTTTTAAATCCTTCATTAAAGCATTAATAAAATGTCAATCAATTCTTTTAATAGTATTGAATGAACCGGTATTTGAATTGTGCCATTCAAGGCTATCGAACATCTGCGATCATTTTAGGCAGGTAAAAAGTACCTCTACAAAGAGATATCAGTCAGCATTCTTCAAAATTTTATGAGCAATCGCAGCAATAAAATTCTCAAACATTGTATCGCTTTTACAATCATTATCGCCAAGTCTTTTATGGCATGATTTTGATTCAATCATTCGCGATATGAAATTTCGGCCTAATCAGGAAGGCAAAGCTTTTTTTATTGCTAATTTGGTGATGCGACACCGAGTGGGCGAGATCAGAAATCAGAATCCAAAAAGCTCCTGTAATAGGTCCATCCGTAGATTACGCTCTAATTGCAATGTTTGTTTTATCATAATGAGGCTCCTAAGAGCTTAAGGTAGACCGCTGGACTTAGCTGCTGTAGATGATATTTTCACGAAATAGACGGAAATCCTCCAGGAAAGGAGGGGACTGGCAGGGTATCCTGGTGGAGGGTATAGATCAGGAGTGGATATCGCTCCACCATGGTGGGGGAAGATTTACTGGAAAGAGAAGCAACAAGCGTCAACCCTCAGGATGGTCATTTCCACGCTGACTCTCATCGGTACAGGTGAGTACAGTCCTCGGATGGACGAGACTGATTGAAGAGATTAAACAGTTAACACGAATTTTTTATATTCGATTTCTCTCCAACATCAAGAACTCAGCAGATTGATCAAAGTATCCTCTGAAGACTTTCAGTCATCATCATCTAAGAGATAATGGGTCGACATGCCTGCGTAATCATCCTTCTGGCAGGTGAGTTAAATTTTAAAATATTCTCACGGGATCTTGATTTTGTTAGTGTTTTTTTGAAGTCCAGTATAAGGTTGATAGGATATTTAGTGTATAGCATAATACTACAATCCTTTCGAAGTATCGGCCATCTTCTGAAGTTTAGCTACTGAGACGAAATTATCTTCTAATTCCCACTTAATGGCACCGCACGATTCCTTAATCAAAATCTTCCCTTTGATCGTATTAACTCGAAGCTTTCCAGTCAATCCACTGATTCGTTAGAAGCTGAGATACAGTCAAATTTTAGAAATTCGACACAAGATACAAGTCGCTATTTTAAATGTTGAAAATCATTCAATAGTCATTGAAAATCTTCTTCTCCGGTGACTGAAGCCTTTCCTATAGACATGTATCGTCAGCCCAGACGGCTGTCACAAGTCGCGCAAAGTTATGCATTACCCTAAGCGGAGTGGGCAGAGAAGTTGTAATTAGTTGCTTAAGATTCATTCGCGACGAGACTTTCATGACGCCACGACATCCATAAATGTATCGCATCGCCGTGAAATTTTCATCCTAGCCTGTGAGGAACCTCTAGGGAACTTCGGACTCTACAGAACCCCCAGAAGTCTGGAAAAGATAAAGAGAAATTTTAATATCCAATGACCGCCATACTTACTTAAACAACTTGCTACGAATTCTGTTTATTCCTTTTTTTTTCATAACAGTTTGCGCTCTTTGGTCCATCGGAGAAGCGCTTTCCTGCGATCAGTGCGGACGAGAATGCGTTAACAGCTGCGGAACACGTCAGTTCCGAGCATGCTGCTTTAATAATCTCAAGAAAAGGGTTCCTGATCTTGGATTTAAACTCTGGATGGCACCACCTAGGTACACTGGACATCTGCATCTCATCTACGATGCGTAACGACACGGCTGCTCAACATTTCGATCGACAAATATACTGCACGCTGCAACTGCAAATTGTTTCTTATTCGCATAATGCCGACTACTACGCGGCAAGCTATGTTACGCACGACACGCATCGCTTTGTGCGACGCTTACTTAGAATCTCTTGAGGAAGCAGTGGACATAAAAATAACTGATACAATAGAATAAGAAGCATCGATTTTCAATGAATTTAATTAATATCTTAATTTTTTTTTATTTGAACCCCTATTAGGCATTTTTCATTTGACATTTTCTTGTTTTGCGCTTCGACGTGCAATAATCGACATCCTTTGCAAGTGTACGGATGATCAAATAAATCTAATAAAGTTACATCAGTTCAGCGAAACTTGTACAATTTGATTGATTCGCGAAAGTAACCGGATTCGCTTTTTTTCGTCGGAACGTTCACACTTTTTTATACGTATTAAATACATCCTTAAAGTTTTTTTAAATATGTTATACTGCAGTTTATCCAAACCAGGATATGAGTCCCTCTTTAAATAGTCAATCAAGTCAGTCTCTGTCACGATCTCTTTTATTTTTGGAGGAGTATCTTCTTTCATTATTTGAATTGTTTTTTCTTTCTTCGATACGAGAGATCGCTTCTGCTTTTTTAGAATTTTTTTTGTTTTATTCACTGATTTCATCGGATTTGACTCCAATGTATTCTTATCTTTTATACACACTGACTCAAAAGCATGGCGATCGATAGGCTCTGAAAAAAAAATCATTTTATGATGATGAACAATGCTGAAAAATGCATTATCAAAATTGGTCACATACTTCCAATGTCGTCCATTAAGGAGAGGCTATGATCAATTTTTATTTCTTCATGCACAGCCCTTTCATCAATTCTTTTGTTAAACATAGTCGCATGTAAGCAATTTGTTGGTTTAGCAATTTGATCAAGATCATCAACGTCGAATATTAAATCTACTTCAGCATCATCATTTTGTGGTGTGATAAGGTTGAATATAGTCTCTGCTCCTTTTTCATGCATAGGAACACTGAATCAAAAATGTGTATTAATATTCTATAAAGTATATTGGTAGCGTAAAGTGTATCAGATCAAACCTTTTAATTTCTTCGGTAATCCATGGTACAGCAATCCAAACTGTGAGGTTGCTGGGAAGTTTATAATTATTAGGAATCCAAGGTACTCCAATGCTTGGAATTTTGTTTAAATAATAGTAAACATTGTTGTACCATTCGCAACATCTTTTAACCATATGCCGTGACAACATCCTACATAAAAAGAAAGTAGATTGTAAGTATATTGTTTAGTAACGATATTGAGTATAATATAATCAATATATAGTCTACCAAATTCTGCTGATCACAGCATAGCCTATCACGGACATCACCCATGCTTGACCTAAACCAATCCTTGTTTTAAAGAATTTGGCAGCTTGTGTAGCTACCTCTTCAACACGAACCATAAGTTTACTGAACCCTTGTGTCTTGACAAGAACATATTCCACCATTTGTCGAGTTGGTAAAGAAACAGTTTTGCCATTATGTTCTATACAGTCTCTCAAATGTTTATATTCAGTTCCTAGTGCCAGATTCAGGTAGTTGAGAAGGGCTCGGTTTAACTTTTCCATATTCTTCAAGCCCTTATCACTTCGAAATTTACTCTTAAAACGATAGATTAAACGACTGAGAATAGCAGCTTCTTTGTGTAGAATATCCTGAGAATCTAGATCCTTTATAGCATTATCCAGAATACGGGAGAACGCGTTGCTATCTGAAATAATTATTATTTTCTTGCTAGGAATATCATTATTGAATCCAGGTTACACTAGCGTAAAAATAATTTCATACCAAATTTATGTGATAAAATAGAACAAGTATTGTTTGGTGGACGTTCTAAGTTCAATTTATTCCAAAGTGCTTCCATGGTTTGTTTAAAATAAAACAATAATCCACCGAAACAATATACAACTCCAATAGCAAGTACATTCAGAGTAAATGCATACAAGAACCCCCCAAAAAACACACGTGTAAAAGAACTATGCCAAGTACAGAAGTGCCTGCACAGCTGGTTGTCTGTACTTGGCGCGAGACTCAACCGAGTCTCTTGATTGACCGTTGATGCTCAACGACGCATGACGGTTTGTAGAATTATCGACGTCCTCCGCTGTTTTTATTTTACCGACAGAAAGAAGCCCATACCGCAGAAGATACTGGAACTGTGGCGCCTCTAGCTTATTTCCCTACCACTTTGTATGGCTGCATGTACCTGCAAGTTATGCGCATAGAAAGGTTTGAGCAAAAAAAGTAATACAGAATCTACCATTGTTTTAAGTGTTGCATTGCTTTTTTTTTTGTCAATCATGCAACCGCGTTAATCAGTGCATAAAGCATAGTTATAGTAACTACAACGCGACAGTGGGAGCCTTTTAAGTCAGCAGACTGTACCGGCCGATGGTGCGCACCTCAGGCCACAGCTATAGCTCTCGGGTGATTCCGTCTTAGGTATCTGTTTTTCCTAGTTTAGTTTAAATACTCGGTGGCATGTGCGTGTGCAAAGTAAAAACGCGTTCTTAACGTATAGGAGTAAAATCTAGAAATTGGTAATCGCCAGCTATAATATTGCACAGCATTGTTGCGGCACGGCCACATACATTGCATCAGTGCGTTAGATTTGCGCCGCACCGAATACACGAGAAAGCTTAGTTGATTTATCTTCAGTAATGTTGGCATGCCTTAGCCACTGCAATACCATTGGTCGGTCAGTTGGAATATAGTTTTGAATTAACCGTTACCACTCTCAACGAAGAAGAACGCTAAGAAGATTCTTATCGTTGGATTCTAGTGAGTAAAGAATAAATTATTATTGCGATGAAGATATTGGGGAATAAGATGGAAGATACGGTGTTTATGTGATTAGTGAGACAATGGATATCGGTAGAAAATGCAATGATTAAATCACTTATAAAAGTGATCTGATCTAATAATGTTGCCACGAAACATCCTCGCTAAATGGAATGTAAGTACACACCATTTTATTATCTGTTCATAGACATAGAAAGGTAAAATTGTCGCATTTTCACGAAATCTTCCTAAAAAGTGAATTGTCACATTGCATTTGTTGAAAGAGTTGCAAGTTTTTCATAGTCTATCGAAAAGGAAGGATTTGTTTTTTCGTGATGACTATTGTGTCTTATTTTTTCTTGACAAAACCAAGACTATTCGTGGCATAAAAAGCAGAAGGTTCGAAAGGTGATCAATAACCATCAATATGCAGTACGAGGCTTTAATAAGAATGTAAGCAGGAGATTCCGGTTCGCATTTTACGACTCTGCGACACAGGACATCACTTCGCCTCCTACTGCAGGGCCTTTATTACCCGTCATCTTCCTTCTCTCGCTGGGCGAATTTATTATTTATAAAGTCGAATGAGCTCTTGCGCCTTCTTGCCCGAGTTAGCCGCAGCGCAGAGTGCGGCTTTACACGCCTAAAACGATCCTAACCTCGCGTAGGGAAACGAATTTCTTCGGGCCGAAGTACTTTGGTTTGAAAGGTTTTTCTGGTAAGCGATTTCTGGGACTTGCAAGATTGCCAAGAATTTCTCTTCAGGGACAACGGAAAAGCATTTTTCAGTTTATTACGTAGCCAAGTGCCTGTATACGAGATAAATGAGAAATAGACATACTCTTCATTGGGCATTACAGCAGATAAACTCGTGCTATGTCAGTTAGATTGATAATCGCGGATAAAAATATTAATTTCCACAACGGTGTTCAATTAACGTTTCTACCTTGGTTTTACACTCTCATTGTCATTGTTTTATCTTCTCCGATAACTCACCGGCGACAGTTATCACAGGCTGAGTGAGTTTCATTTACGTGATACGTAGCTTGTATCGATTATTAAACGTATTCGATATTTAATGATACTGATTAGATTACTGTAAAAGCTTTGGATTATCTGGAGTGGTGACATCTGTCCAGGATTTCTGCGCTGCCTTGTTTTCTCTCCCACCCTGTAACAATTTCATGTCTTCCTGCCCCCTGGCGCCAACTACATAGTTCATAATTCACGTATTAAATTACTAGCCTCTCATTCTTCTTCAATTCACTTCAATTCAAAATAATGGTTGTAGTTTCTTGGTTTATTATCAATGTAAATGTGTATATTTATGTGTTTCAGAAGATCGTGCTGAGATGCCCGAATATTGGCTACAGAGAAAAAACAAATACGGACTCCTAGCTCTCGCAAGCTTTAACTATCGGTGCGTATCCTTATCATTTATTTCTTTCGTTGGACTTTATTTTCTGGATTTTCTTATAGATTATATAATATCTGCCTGTACGAATAAAAGAGGGATGAGATGTTTAGAGGGTGAGTCGAGCGTCGGGCAGGCGCATGCCATTAATTGATAATCAAGAGAAAGTGTTGAAAGGGATGTATCCGAGTGATGCTGTTCAGGATACATCTGCGGCGGTATCGTTAGGATCCTAAATACAAAGAACCGATCCATCATTCATGCCAGATAATTCGTGTTTGAAAAGTATTTATCGACGGAGCCTTCACGTGCGATCATAATGGCGATTACGTTTTGTATAAACAATAAGGATACAGTACAGGTATGAGGTCGTTCACAGCCGGCAATTTTTTTCGTTGAAAATCCAGAGTGGATTCGATTCTATTTTAGGTAATTCTGTTCTTACTTTTTCAGCAGCGGCACGAGTATTCTGGAAAAATATGATTCCCAGGATTAGGTTTTCCATGGATTCCTTAGAGTTTTTACGCCGCTCGTACGACACAATGGAAAAGGGTGGCTGGATTTGATCTTCCACCATATATTTTTTTCTCCATATAGTTTACCTGAAAAATCTTTCTGGGTATTCTGCTCTTCTTTCGCCATGATGAGATGAAATTTCACAATGTGAAGGATCCATCCAACGAGCGTGGGTTCTAATCGGTAGGAAAAAAAAAATTGGGGGTCTTTCCATTGGGGCATCGCGGGTTCAATGCAAATTCGAGATGTGAAAGGATTACGGTGCGTCAACGCGATGACTGAACGCCCGGTAATTGTTGGCCTGCTCTAATATTTCGAATAGTTCGCATTTACAATGGGCTTTATTGGCGAGAAAACTGAGGGGGGTATTTTGAGCAGCCAGGACATCCATCACGCGGTGTCAGCGTGATTGTCTTCCGGCGTGAGAGAGCGGAAAAGTATTGACAATGTGGAAAACACGGTTTATCATTAAATACTTGATTGCTCCTTGATATCGATCGGTTCGATTCTCAAAAGTTTACCAATAAAGTTACCTACCGGTAGGGATATTGGATTTTCGAAAATTTCCAAGCTCTTACGTTCTCTGGCATCTCATGATGTCTTCCTGTCGGGTGACAGGATTACTGCGGCCTGTGAATTTATCCGTACGCGACGTGCTCGGCTTCGCTATTGTGTCGTATTTAAATGAGCTTTCTAATGTATTTAGCTTGAATGCCGCATGTGACGAAACTGCCCTGCGTCGTTAAAGACACATTTTCCTACCCCAACTTTGAAACTCCTGTATACAAGATGGGTGGACCGATACAGTCATTCAGAGGATTTTATATACTAGTACTAGAGGTTGAGGTAAAAAGCAAAAGGTGAAACTTCATTCATTTATTCTTATAAATTTCCTATACTGTGTCAATACAATTTATCTGTAATTAATATATAATGGTCCTAGGAAGAAGCCACCTATCCCTCACCTCTTCTCTTCGTCTCTGGAATATTCGATGCTGCCAAATGACGCTTGAGCAAAACAATGCGATGACAGCTGTCAAGTCAAGCTAGGTGAGTTTGCACCGAATAACCCTGCATTTCTTTTCCCGATTTGGAGGGTATAGCAGGGCGCACCATGAAAATACAAGCTCTATCGTTGGCGTATGTGCCTCGCCGGTGGCAGTGTTAACGTGTAATCGAGTTGCACCCCTTCGGTTATCTGTTTTATTTATCCGATAACACGCCATTATGGGCATCGCGAATGTGGGTGTGCCCGTAACGATTGGCTATTTATAATAACACGTGGCGTCTGGTAATTAGTTGTGAGAGCAAACCGCACCGAGAGCCGAACTACGCTCCGCCTAGCGTTGTTGGCTGCACAGGCTTGTCGAGAAAAATTATCCCCATTTTTCAGGGCGACCGATAGTGCCCGATTGCGTGAGAGCAGATTCTCTGTTTATTTATTTATTTTACTTTTTTTTACTTCCTTTCTCCATGTATTATTTATCCTCGTGCTCCACCCACTTTATTTTTACCCACAAAATTTTACGTGGTCTACCTACTCCATTTTATTTTCTATAGTGATTTTACTCTACCATTCTATTTTTCCATCCAGCATTCCTCAACTTTATATCACGCGTCCTGCGTCACGGGAAGGCAGTTACGTAGACGCGTCCATAACATCCTCGAAGAAATTGAAGATTCGTACGCTCCATCCAGGACCATCCTGATGTGAGCTGAGGGCGGATTATACTACGATATAAAATGTTGCTCTATTGTGCAAGGTACAATGCTTATCGATATGGATTACAGCCTTGCCAGATAGCAGGGCTTGGATGCAAAAGTGTAGGGGTGCAAGTTGCATGTAGACTTGAGTTATAATATCCTATATAATCGTAATAGATATACTTGCGAGGGTGATTGACCCACTATATGATGCAAAGCACCCCTTCAACAAAAATTAGCTTTATAACATTGTGAGAAGTCGATGCCTATGCATTCTATAGTATGTAGTATAAATGATACAAATTTGTGAATTCTTTTTATCGATAAAATTGAAGCTAGCGATGTTTTCATTCTAGTGTGTGGGAATGGAGACGCGATGCTTCTGGCGCAGTGGGTCTCACCATAACGCGTGTCCGTTGGCTGCGGCCAATGTGTCTGCTGTCTAGTGGCCGCGAAACGTAAAAAATGCGCTTTTTCCAATGTGCAGAACACAGTCTGAACAATAGGGGTGGTTGATGGGGAGGTACACGTAACCGCTCGAGAGCGCAAATACAGGAATATGGGGTGGCGAGTGAGCGAGGAGGCAGCGTCCGGAGCGAACAATACGTATATCACACGGCGGTCTGCGTGAAAATATCACTGAAAATATTACGAGTATCCAATACGCATCTACCTATCTAGCAAGTCACTGAGAAAATTTAGGAGAGACTGGGGAAAATCATAGAATGCGAAACTAGAACAGCGTGTATGGGCCCTAGGTGCACTGGTCGTAGTAGGCAATGAGAGGATATTGAACAAATTGAGATCATAGTGGTTCGAGTATTTGAAAAAGCGGGCGAGCGTGCATAAGCAGGAAACGGCCTCCTGCTGCGGTTAGGATGCGATTCGATCATTGAGCCGATCGTTACGATCATCGATTCTTTCGCGACTATAGGAAACACGGGTAGAGACCTTTTGCAAGAATGTTACGACTCAATTCACAGTTTCCATATTCAAGCAGATAAAACTGGTAGCTGCAGAGTATAGAAGAAGACGAAGAAGAAGTAGTAGAACTACGTGTACTGTGGAGAGAGAGTTACGGTGGATAGCGGTGACGGTACCGATCCTAGCGAAGAAGAAAGGTAAATGAGCTGCTGGTTGGCCGATCGTTATGATACACTGGCATTATGCTTGCCGGTATTAATTTCGCTAATTGCGGTTGATGGTTTCAGGAGGAGAGGCACATGGGGCAAACGTCACTCCCTTGGTATTATCCTGACCCTCGGGGTCAAATCGATGCCTGGATCAATAGTCGTCTTTGCGATTTCCACGTTGGAATTTTCAACGGACTTGCCCAGAGGATGAGGAGGGTGCATTCGCGATCGACGTCAACCCTCTCGGCTGAATGCTGATGGTCAATAGGAGTTAGTCCCAGGGAATCTCGTTCGTTTGGGGTTGTACGAGGTCAAGGGATCAGCTGTGCCGCTCGTACGTACACGTACCTACACGGAGCTATATGTACTACAGCTAACACACGAGGAGGGTCCCTCTGGGTGTAGATCTGGGTCATCGGGCCGATGAGGCCAGATCAGGTCAGGCGAGAGGGTCCCCCTCACTTACCAAACAGAGGAAGAGTAGAGAACCTTTGGGTCCCCCCTAATATCCTCGAAACATCTATGACAAGATAATCACGGGATGCTCCGCCATTCTATCTTCCTTGCATTCTCTTTACTTTCATTTCATTCACGCCCTTAGGACCAGCTGGCTAATTTTCTCTTCTTGGGTTCTTATGAGAATCTTGAGTCTTGTCAATATTATTATGTCTTAAACACTTGGAATATTTTTCTACTATAGTTTTTAGTTTTTATATCATTATGTATACAGTTTAAACTGAGACATGATAACTTTTTCTTACAGAATAACGAAAAATGATACTATTGGTCAGAGAACAGGAAAACAGATCTCGTTATAAGTATAGATCCCATGGGGAAACTTCCTTTTGGAGTGAATTTCAGAACAGAGAAGGTTAGTGAATTGTAGTTTCTTGTTTAGAGTAGATGCACGTAACGAAGGTGCCTTAAAAGTTGCACAAAGATATTAAGTACTCCTATGTATGGTATCTAGGTAATATGGAGACAGGAAGGCGAGAAGAAGTCTACGAATGGAAAGAAAAGACGACTGTGCAGGGTGATAAAGAGAAGGATTGAAAGGAAGAGGATGGAAGGCATAAAGCCAGTGGATAGTAGAGGGATGGAAGATTAAGCGAACACAGGTAGAGAAGAGCAAGGATGATGGGAGAAGAAGAGAGAAGCAGAGTCAGCTAGAGAAGAAATAAGTGTGCGCGTGTAGTGCTGATGGCAATGGAGGACGGGAGCAGAGCGCGATCGATTCAAATAGCGACGGCGACATTCTTTGGTGGTCGACGAGGAGGACGACGAGGAGGACGACGAGGACGAGGACGAGGACGAGGACGACGACGACGACGACGACGACCACGACGACGATGGCAGTGGCAGTGGTAGTGGTAGCAGTGGTGGTGGTGGTGGTGGTGACGGCGGCGGCGGCGGCGGCGGCGGCGTCCTCGTCGTCATCGTCGTTTGAAGAGACAGAAGAAGTCGCGAGGAAAAAGAAGAAATCCCCACTCGACGCGGTTCCAGTCGTACTGTCGTTGCCGGTGTGTGTGCCTGGTGGCGGTACGACAGGCGGAGAGGGACTCCAGGATTGCCACCACCTCAGGGTATACTCGGTGGGCGTGGTCCAGGGAGCGGCGGCTCCACCAATCGTTAAAACCGGCGCCCCTGTGGCTCCGCCAACCGCGTTCGGAAGTGCGCGCACAGAACGCCCATACTCCCCGGCGCTCGGCTCCCACTGATGTTTTTATTTATTACATCTGTGACTGGGTAGGGAAATACTCCCAACTCGACCGAGAGCGTTTGCCACTTTGAGAACGAGCGACGCGTTCCTGCGTTACGGGTTACGTCGACGCCGTTTCCCTCCGAGCGATAGAGAGCCCGTTTCCGCGTTATCCTCGGGAGTCTCGACCCGCGTACACGACCTAGCCTCCTCGTCTTCTCGCCGACGTCACCGATACTCTGCGCCGAGACTCTGTCTACCTTAGTACGGGATCTGTGTTCCTTCGGAATTGTGTATCACGGATGATCGAGAACCGTCCTGACCACTCCTAGAGTCGTGTCCAAGGATAGTCGCGATGGACCGGTGTACGCGGTGCTGTTCCTGAGTCGAATCATGGACATCGTGTGAGATCGCGTACGGGGATCACAGTGACAAGTTCTACTCAGCGAGTTCGTGTGACAGTGAGACTTTGATTAACGGTGCATCGTGCACCAGGCTAGAGAATAATTTTTTCTAAAGTGGAGTGTATAGATATCGCGAAGTGCATAGAGTTGAGTCCAAGACATAGAGTACATAGCATTGTTTATCGTTAAAGTAATACTTGGAGACGTAGTGTGCGGTATCTGAGATGGTCTGAAGTCTCGGCTATTTTTCACAGCGGACGATTCGGAAGTTCGTCTCTACGAGACACAGGGAGCCAGATCGTTCAGTTTCCAAGTCCAGGAGTAGAGAGCCAAGGTGCTCCTCCTCCATGTGCCAGAGAGATCTCGTTTGAACGGTGCAGCGGAGGTTGCAGCGCAGTAGGTGGCCACAGAACTAAGTAGATCACGTTTACTATCAAGGGCTAGAAGAGAGCTGAGCAATCGATGGACCACGGAGCGATGGATAGTTCTTCCGATCACAGCAGCCGTGCCAGCCCCGTCACCGGCAGCCCCAAACATCCCCACAGTCCATCGGCTCAACAGAATCAACAGCAGATACACGGCTCTCAGCATCAGCCACCACAGTCCCATCAGCAACAATCGCACCCAAGAGATCAGATTCGCGAGCTCCAGCAACAGCAGCAGCACAGAGGAGTACCTACACCAGGATCTCCGACTCGAGGATCACCTCCGCAGGGTTTACCCTTGAGTCCTCCTCCTCTTTCAGCCGGGGGAGGTCCTGGAGGACCTCCTGTGATGGTACCCAGAATGCCAGGGTTGGCCCCTGCGGGTCTAGGACTCCTGGGTCAACTAGGCGGCATGCTCAGTGGACATCATGGTCCTTCTCTGGAGCTAATGGCCAGTCACCACGCTGTCCTGCCACCCAGGTCGTACAACAGTCCACCGCCGATCAGCTCGAGCGATCCCACCGCGAACGAGTGCAAGCTCGTCGATTATCGTGGTCAGAAGGTCGCAGCTTTCATCATCGCCGGGGATACGATGCTCTGTCTGCCTCAAGCCTTTGAGCTTTTCCTCAAGCATCTCGTCGGCGGCCTTCACACTGTGTACACGAAGCTCAAAAGACTCGATATCGTACCGTTGGTGTGCAACGTGGAGCAGGTTAGGATCCTTAGAGGTCTGGGTGCCATTCAGCCTGGAGTTAACCGCTGCAAGTTGCTCAGCTGCAAGGACTTTGACGTCCTCTACAGGGACTGCACCACGGCCAGGTAGATTTATTACCAGATACGTATATAATATAGAAAATAGACGTTAAACGTCTTCCCGGAGCCATGCTCTATTTTTGAAAACCCAATAAAGAGACAGCGGCGACGTTATCCACATAGTAAGATGAAGAATCGGCGATATCCTAAATCTAGACAGGATCTCCTGTTTTAGCGTAATGCCCATGGAGATGACAGTGAGATTAATCGAGTGAAGAAATGTGAGCTCCTCGAAGGGGTTAGCCAGGTGGCACGGAAGCTCAAATCTTCGCATATATTAATAACGCACGGTGTCCCCTCTGGGCAGCATTTCATCTTCGCCCAGCCCCGCTTTGCTACCAGTAGGCTCGAATAATACTTTAATTGCGCACCTCCCGTCTTTTAGAACTTAATCATCCTCGGCTCAGCTCGGTCTTGTGTCTTGAACCCTCGTTAGACCATTTCCCTTATACCGATGGGAAGTCGAGTAACATAAGTTGCGCACCACGTGCTCCGGACACATTCCTCTCGGTGTGCCCAGGTCAACCCAGTTTGCTCGCCTTGGTGTAAATCCGCAAACAGCTGTAGACGAGGCAGTGGAGAGGCACGTGCCTCCGTTTCTAGGATTGTCACCGGGCTCCCGGAGCCAACAGGTGTCCCTTTGACGGCAGTTTCTCTGAATGAATTCCCCACCGACGAGAGGTGCTTGTAGTACAAGCTTACCCCACCCACCCACGCGGGCAGAAGGCAGAAGGCAGACGCCAGACGAAACGGAATGGTAAACGGAACGAGGGGATCCCGAATTGGCCAGGGAAAATTTTGTCGTTTTTACGAACACTGCCAGTAGATCCCGTTACGATTCCCTCGTTGGATGATTTTAGGAATTTTTGAATTCTTTAAAAATTTCTCAGAATACAATTATCCGTACGTAGAGCTCAGGGATACTTTTAAAAGCGAACTGATCGTTGACTCGGAGATCATTCTCGTATAAACTCCCCTTTACAGGGACAATAGTAAAGCGGCGAGCAATGCGCAGTGGCAGTCACAACGGAAACGGATTGAACGCGACGGAGAGAGAGAGAGAGAGAGAGAGGTGGAGAGAACGCGATAGGAACCGTGAGAGAATGAGAGACGCAAATCGAGCGAGAGGGAGACTGGAGGAAAGAGATGCCCTATAGGGATAGGGATCGGAATAATCTCGGTGGCAGTCACAGAACAGAACTCCACGAGCCGTCGGCTCGTGCAGGTCCTTTTTCGGGACTCTGCTTGTTCCGTGCTGATTTTTGACCTGAGATACGACACTCTGAAATTATATTTTCATGTCAAAATTCAAAAGACGTCCGATGGAACGTTCGAAATAATTATAGCTTGTCGATAGAGTGTCACGTGATTTTTCGACTCACCGTCACAAGGTGACTCCAACTATACCGATTCAGAAAATGTTCCCGCTTTCCGGTTCCCCTCGAGTCACCATCCTGATCAGAAGCCACACTCTCGGTTCGATTCGTACAGTTGGGCCGATGCTCTCGGAATATTTGTCATTCTTGAGTCGAGGTCGAGGTGCTCGAATCTGCCGTGGAGTAATAGTCTCGACGGACCGAGTCGCCCGGCAGAGGAGAGCAGCCGACGGAGACGTCTCCACGGACCTGCGGAGGTCCGGGTGAGATACCGGCGCCCCGCTGAAGATAGGCAAAGGGCTGTAGAGCTGCCGGAGATAAGGTTTTGATAGGATTAACGGCAGGGGAGGAACCCCCTGACCCGGATTAAGGATGTGCTGCCCAGCTGTCGGCCGATGTCCTGGGGAAGCGGCCCTGGAGGATCTCCAAGAGTTACGTACCGATTCGTTAAGGGGGGCTCTCGATTTAGTTAAAGGGACGACTCGAGGGAAAGGATAAGTGTTATTGGCTATAAGGAGATCGACCAATCGGAATTTGTAGTTCTCGAATTTGCCGATTGTCAAAGTCAGTCTGTCTCGGGACACCGATCGGGGTGCCTCGCGCTCTCTCGCGCTCTCGGCTTCTTTGTTGACAGTTTTTCTAGCTGTGCTTCTTATACGGTATACGTGGTTTTCGCTTGTGCGGTTGTCGCGTTGCTCTCGCTATATCCGGGAAATCCTCTAGATTTTGTGCGTGTGCTTCGGAAGTGCAGTGCCCCCCACCTGACTGTCTCCTGGATGCAGTTCTCGGCCTTCAAGGATTATCTGGACCAGCTCCGGTGAGGACTCCCAATTCATTGACTGGTGGAGGGATTTTGATTTTATAGCTCCGATTCGTTCTGTCACGTGCTCGATCAATTGCTCTCCGTTTCCGGAAATATTTGCCCGACCCTCTTTACCTCAACCTAGCAACCTGAGCGGCCGTGCATTTCCGTAACCGTTGCCTTTCTTGATTTTACGCGACCCCGAAAATCTGCAGGATCCGTGAGACTCGTATTCTCTGTCGAGTTAAGGAAATACGTTACAAGAGATATCCAGTCGATGCTGCGAAGTCGCGTGGCGGTATGCTGCTGGGCTGCATTATGCAATCGGATCCTTCGGGATGCTGCAGAAACGTGGATACGCGGAAACCGCTGAAAAAACGTGATCCCACCAGAGGCCTGGGACGTTATCTCGGTGTGCGGTCTGACGGTATACCTTGTCCAATGTTTACGGCGTCCTTCTATCTACCGATAATGCGAATTGTTAGCGGGGAGTCATTTGATATCGGGCAACTTTGCCGAGCAGGATTTGATCTTGCGTGCAGGAAATAATGCCGGGGGAACGTGGCCGCAATAATTCAAAGAATTTTTCTTGCGGTTTATTACCGCGGCGCCAGGTTCGCCATCTCCGCGAATCTCTCTTCTCATTCACGAGGATCGCGGACGCCTCCGCCGTCTTAGTCTTTGTCAGAATCTTCGTGGATTTTGATATCCCGATGCATTGCCCATGCAGCCGTCACCTGGAATCCCTTCCTTGCTCCGTTGCAATAGGCTGGCCAGCCAGTTTTTTCAGTCACTGTTTACTGTATTTAACTATAATAACGGAGAAATTCCTCGATCCAATGACGCATGACAATCCTTCGAATACTTGGCCTCGATAAGTTTCCGCAAGATCCCTTTCCGGGGAGGCAACATTGCGAAATCCTTAAAGTCCCATAATTTTTAGCCTATTAACTGACAAAGAGCTTGAACGCCAGACGAGACGACAGTCCAGGATCTAACGAGAATGGATCTAGGATTTTCATAAAGCCGCAGGACTTCCTGGCGTAATCGCACAGTAGCGATGCTATCACTCGGTGGAATAATTGCATCTATAGGAGGCTAATAGTCGCGAGGAAGTAAGATGGTCTCCTTTGTGCGCGTCTAACGAGTCGAGTCAATTATATTAATTAATTTGCCTAAGCAAGCCAAAGGGACGATGATGCGCGCGGTGCAATAGTCTCTAATTGGTGTGTGGAAAGAAGGAAAAGAGGTAAAGGAAAAGAAAAGAAAAAGAGAAGCGAAAGAAGTAAAGAAAGAATGGCTTGAAGTCTCACTAGCCCATTGCCCATGTATAATCCACACTGGTAGTGGTGTTTATCTTTTTTTTTCTTTTTTTCTTTTTTTCTTTTTTTTTGTCTCTCTCTATAGGATCAATCTCGCGACTCGGCTTATACGGTATATCTCACACACCGTACACACTGTACGCGCAGTACACGCAGTGCGCGTACCTGCAACAAAGAGTGGGTACGTGGGAGTGCGCGGCCCTGGACTGTAATTCTATGCGCTATTAGCCGTTTAATTATAAATTGTGCATAGATTAATTGGCTCCCGTAACGGCCCTAACAATGCGCAGACACACAGTTGTTATTAATATTTATTTGGCCGTGTTGGCTGCGCTCGGATGAGTGCGTGCATCCTCGCATCCTCTCTATATGGAAAGCGGAGATTCGTTCGGCGGGCACGGATCGTTACACGTAGCAGCGATCGTTCACGATCGTTCACGATCACCGGAGAACCGATTCGAGGAGGCTCGTATGTAGCCACCTATGCCTTTATAGCGTCTCCATTACCATGGCTATAGTATACGTGGACTCTATGATGTTGTAGCATACCTGCAGCATCATCTTCGCTTTTCAGAGGGAGAGAGAGAGAGAGAGAGAGAGATGATCGTACCGATCATTCCGATTGGCCGTGAGGTTAAACGCCGCCGCGAACTTCACCAATGGATTCGACTCGTCTTTCCCTTTTCTCTATCCGCTGCAATTGTATCGGTTATAGCAGCTGGTCCTACGAATTTCTTTTTTCATATATACATATATCTCTCACTCTCTCGGTATAGTCGATCTGACCCTCCGGGGGAGCTTCGAGCGAGATATTATAAGGGTTCGTGTGCCCCTATTGTTAGTTTTGCTTTTGATACAGATACGCACTTTATGCCATTAAGAGATGGTAAGATCCCCACGGGAGGATCGAGTGGCGTCATCCAGAATCGACTGGTCGATGTATCTTTTTGAATCTTTTTTGGATTTTAATGATTTTTTATGAAAGCGATGGGTATCGGGGGTGGGGAGGATGCTGGTCGACTATAGAGAGCTCGGAGTGACGTATGGACCAGACGCAGGGCTGTTTGTGCTGTAATAAATTCCATGTCGCAATTGTTCCTTAATAGAGGAAAATTAATTGAAAGAGCAAATCTGAGGGTTGCTCTCTTTCGGAAGACCATTTTCCATCTCCGCCAGCACCTTTTCCACTCTGGTAATGCCCGGTAATTAATAATCTGCAACAAGTAATAATAAAGGCAGTAATCCGGGCACCGCGCGCCGTTCTTAATTCTAGATAATTAATACAAAGACAAACAAGAAGGATTATAACCGAACTCCCCTCCGCCCCCTGCGCCGTCTCTCCTGCTTCGTCTGCGTCCCCCTTTTTCTTCCGACTCCTCGGGCAGAAGCGGAAACTTATTACTCGAGTAAAACTCGAAGATATTTTCATGCCTTTTCCGCTTTCCCATTATCCACCTGATTCCAATGGGATTTACGTGCATCGCCGTTATATCTGTAGCTATCGAT